TTATTTTAAATTACTTGTAAGTTCGAATTGATAATAATTCGATCCTATGGGATGTCAGGCGCCTTACCAAAACTTCCATCACAAAGAACATGTTAAAATTTGACACCTAGAGAACATTACGAACTTTCATATTTTCTACGAAACTTATCACACTGAAATATTGATATAAAACCGAATAAAAAACCTCTCTAGCACAGTCAGACGTCAGCACACACAGAGGTTACATCTCGAAAACAGTCGTAAAGTAAGTGATAAGATATATTAAGAAAATAGTATACTTTACTGGTAAAATTCCGCAAGTGTATAGTATAAAACATTACCTTAATTGCACCACTAAGTTTAAAAGCGTTCTACTGCAAAATGACAGTTGTTGCCTCACGTCACAATATACCCGTCCAACCGTCTACAGGCCACCACCATAACTTCACAAACGGTTGATGTTAACGAAATGTTGTTTTCATTTAAAAATGCGTAATCATGGCGCAAGTAATATGCCGTGTAAATATTGTTTGAATAACTTTTATTTTTCGAGAAATTTAATAATCTTTCATGTTTTAAATTAAACTATATGTATTTCTCGCTAGTAATGGATATATCACAAAAGAAGAATACGATTATTTATATTTTGTATCATATGTTAAAGTTCTACTATAAAGTTGTACTTACTAACATATTTTAAATAAAACCAACAACATTTCCTGTCGCCCTTGAGGAAGGTAGCCTTTGCTTTGCGATGCCGAAGACTTGAGAGGTGACTGGCAGGGTTGGCAGTGAGGGTACAGACGCAATTACAGCACTCCGTGTTCTGGTCTAGGACCCGCGAATCAATATTAACGATCAGGATGAAAGATTTTGCGCGTTATTCATCAAAATTGCACTTTTAATCCACTGACTGAAATTTCAAAGTATCGAACATTCAAACAAGAATCGAGCTTAATTTCTTATGGCTATAAGAACGCGACTGTATTTTAAAACATTTTAAATGCAAGGGAAGAGAATGAGATGTTAAAAATTGTCACCATAATATCTCCATATAATTAATGAACTTTCCGTTAGGTAGAAATGATATTATTTCATGTTACTCAACTTCTGTTGCAATTTATTGAAATTTGACCATACTTTGTAAAGTTACTTTTACTTGCAATACTTACAAAATAAAATAAGTAATTTAATAAAGTATTTTGAGTAATTTTTAATACGTAATTAGTTTATAAAATGAAATAAGTCTGAAATATCTATAGAAAAACAGAGTTCCAATATGCACATAAATTATTTACTCTTATGTTCTGCATCCTCCATTTATAAGAATGCACATCCGCGAATATGTGTGCAAGGTCTGGTGAACTGACTGCAATGTTTAATGACGTTATAAACAGATGATTTGGAATTTCAACCTATAGTAAAAGAGTTCAATTTTAATGAAACAATCGATTTTTTTCAAATATTCTAATCGTCACTACTAATGCTTGTTCAGGTTTTCTTCGAGCAAAGACCATGGGTTGCTGTATTCACGCCTCTACCCCCATTACCAGACCGCTTAATCTCCCCTCTTCCTCTAACAGTCACGGCGCCGTGAAGGCCACTTCCCCGAAGTTAACAGTTGTGAGGGCAATAGAAAATTTGGTCGGTTTAACATGACAGAAATTACGATTATGCAGTAAAACTACTAATAAAACATTAACATATGGTACATTACTGTATTCCACTTTTTATATTATACCCATTGCTAGTGAAAAAATATATAGTTTCTTTAAAACAATCAAAGATGTTTAAATTTCACGAAAATAAAATTTTGTTCGAACAACACTTTTACGGCCGATTTCTTCCTCCATGATTCCGCATTGTTGTACGTTAACTGCACTTCGATATCTAGATCCATTTGTAAGTTAGTGAGCCACTTTGCACAGCGTAATCTTTATGTTCGTTAAAGAGCGCAAGATGTTGATTTCTACCAAAAAAAAACAATATAAAACTTATCTACAACATAATTCTCAAATTCAATACTTTTTTGTAGAAAATGAACTGAATGTTAAAATTTCAAATATGTGTTTAGTAGCAATAAAAATATACTGTCCTTAAGCGTTCTATCAAATCAAAATGTAACTATTTACGAGCTTTATGTTCAAAATGCTTTGGAGCTATAATTTGGCCTTGTGAACAGATCTGAAAACCAACACAGATATACATTTTACATTAGTAGTCACAGTTTGGTTGCTTTGAATAATTTGTTCGTTGTATTATCAAAAAAGTTTGTACATGTTCGACAAAAACTGAGGAGTTCACTATTCTAAATTTACTATTTAACGTGAGTTTCAACATTCCACGTCTAGTGACCTTACCCAACACTCACCTTACACATTAAAAATGTGTGATGGTTGGGTCGACATCTGAAATTCATATTTTCTGTCCTGAAGAAGAATATTTATATTCGAATTATTCTCGGACGTGAAACTTTTAGGTATTGAGATAATATTTGGTACTGTATTTTATCTCTAGCCTTAGAGCAATTGCTATTATAATCAATTATTTTTTCTTCTATTTTTAGTATTTGTTTTATTTTAATGGATTAATGGAATAAATCAGCCATTCTATTAATTTTGTCTTACATCGAACAAAATAATATTCAAATACTTCAATTATTTCTGAATTGAAGTATGAGCTTTAAAACGAATTGAAACAGGAATCCTTTGTAAAACTTTGTTTTAATAAATTTTCTTGAAACATTTTAGTACATTCACCTGCAGTGTCTGTTACGTTACTCAATGGTGATCCGAAAATAAATGTAAAAGTATATAACAACGCATTGTGTAAATAATTCGACGCATTTTCTTCATTTGCCGAACTCCACAGATATTTGAGATGCGTGTATTTGACACCCTCCACAGACAGTCATTCTCGGTTTGCCTTGAGTTCCAGATAAAAGAATATCAACTCGCTATCTAAATGCGCGTCTGTATTACATTCATAACCTCATGGTTAACATTTTTGCGTTTCAAGAATTTGACAAATTCTCAGAAAACCTAATATTCCTTCTCCAAGCTCTTTATCCTCCAAGTGTCTAATGCGTTACTAATACCTTATTACCACATCTTTAATAACGGAATTGGTTGATCTCTCTAAAGATGTTCATGCACAGTTACTGAATATCTACAAAATCACCATTCAAGTAATGGCAGGAACGTCACTATTGTTGCCTGTTGACAGAGGATTAGATTTAAAATATATTCGACTTGTTATCGCTGGTGAAATTACTCGTACTTGGCACTTTATCTACCTCAACTAAACAGTCATGGTTTTCAATGCACAGAACATCTTGCCTTTTTTCGATGTTTTCTCATAAAAGTAACGAATACATGCAGACATCATCAAAAATATGAAACAAAAACATTACTCCTGATATACACAGTTGAGGTAGGAATTTATTTTTCAAATACGCGTATATTCATACTAATGTTGATGATTTTCATGCCATGGAAATATGCTCTACCAGTCACAAATGTTAATCTCGAAATATCATCTACCTATAGGTAGATGGCTGCACTTCTTTCGGCAATTCTACGAAAATTCAAAAAATCTCTATCTCTAGCCTTCATGATTTCTCGCTTAATTCCAGCTAGCTCACTAACCAGGAAGGTACTATGGTTATCTATTAGCACTCCTAGCGGACATAACTTTTCCAAACGTTCCGCATCACTGAACTCATATTGATAAGACAAGAACATCTTAGATATGAATTATCATATCTAACATTTCATAGTCATATACTAGACACATATCGTTGTCATATACTAGACAACTCGTATTTAAGAAAAGTACAAGATGTTCACGCACATAATGTCTTGACAGGCAAGCTAGCTACCTATCGTTAACAGCTGACAGGCACTGGCAAGACAGTTTTCCATAGACATTTGAAAATTCTCATCAATAATCTTGATAACTTCTAACGAACATCACATCTCCGCTAACACGGAGTTACACAGTCCATTAGATGAGTGAAAATTTCACTAAAATGTAAACCTTTTACGAACTATAACGACACCATTTACAATCACAGCAATTCCACAGAAACTGCAAATTTTTCCATTCCCTACCTTCATGTATTCTAACTCGCAGAAATATGTCGCCTTGGTACGCATTACTGATGATCACTGATAACTATTAGGAAATATGAGTTTTAAGTATACAAATATTTAATAAAATCTATACTTAACCTTAACAGCTACTACGCACATAACCTTGAAGTCACAAACATGCTGCAAAACACCCCCCCTCCCCGCACAAAAATAGTTTACCAAAAGTACAGGTACACGGCACAATACATCAAACGAAATACTCTCGTATAGCACTGATTAAATAAAATATTTTAACAAAAAAGTCTTAACAAATGTTACATTGACAGATTATAGTATATACGGTAAAAATTCTTTACACACCACGAGCATGAACAACTTGCTTTTAGTTACGAATCGCATAAATAGCTTATATTTAACGGCGGGCGGTGTTTTCTTATAGTCTTCCTGTAGTATCACGTCAACTGCGTTGTAAGTGCGGACGCACAGTATCGAAATGCAGACGCTACGTGCATTAGGACAATATTCAGAAAAAAACACAAACTAGGGACATTTTTCGGTTAGTATCAAACCTATTTCATGGTTTGGGGATTTTTCCAGAGGCCATGGGTATCTAACGCAACCATAAGCACCTGTCACATGGCCCGAGGCTGCGTAGTTTTCTTTCCATTTCTGCGCGCATTTGAAATTCTTTATATAAATACTACCCCCTCTCGCTGCTCATCACTGAAAAATCACTGGTCACAATATTTGTGACAACTCCAAAGAAATTGCATTTTCAATTTGCAGTATTCATATCTACCGGATATCTTGCTGCGCATCACTAAAAGCCACTGGTCACTGCATTAGTGCCTAGAACTGGAAATGTTGACGACGCAGAGCCCCGGTGCCTTGCCTTGCCTCGCCTCGCTGCGCGCGCAGGCCACTCACCGCATCCGAGCAGCACGAGCGCAGCCAGCAGCAGCGCGGTGGGCGGCCTCATGCGGGCGCAGAAGCGGGCGCAGCCCCACGCGGCGGAGTCCATGACGCGCGCAGACGGGCAGCGGGAACGGCGGCGGCGGCGGATGTCAGCGGCGGTCGAGCAGACGAGCGGCCCGCGCCTGTGCCAACGCCAGAGGGCGCGACGCGTCACCGCTGCGCACGCGCACACGCGCTGCCGCGCAGCCGCTGCGCGCAGATGCAGCGGCGCTGCGCCGGGGCGTCACGTACCTGCGGACGGAGCACAGCGTTTGAGCTACTGGTGTTGGCCAGTGTTTAAGTTCTTGTATTTTGAATGCATTTCGTGTTTTAAAAACTGTTGTTTTCTTTAAACGTATTTTAGAGAGATTTAAACACATTAAATAGGTGTATTTAAAAAGAAATAATTAATATGCTTTAATAAAAATAAAATTCGTGGATCTAATTTTTGCTTTCATACTAATATTCGTGCACCAATTAACCCAAGTACGCCTGACTTTCTTTGTTTACTTTTGTTAATTTTTGAGTGTTATTAATTACGAATTAATTATTAATTTAATTATATAATTAATTACTAATTCATTGTAGCTACTTAATGCTCAAAAATTTGTATGACTGTCAATTATTAATTTATAGTAATTGACAATTACAATATTTTCTTGCTATGAAAAAGATGTAATTCAATTCAATTGAATGTACTCTTTTCTTAGGGGGATATTTAAGGTCCAGTTCATTTGAAGACCACTAATGCATTTAACGGTATGGGAACTGTGAAGATGACAAGATATGGTGATGATAGAGGGTGAAAGAACGGACAAAAATGCAACCATGCCTGAGGCGGGACTCGCAAACGCGATCCTTTGCTCTGAGATCGCTGCTGCCTTAACAATCTCGGCCACCGTACCGGCTGCATTTACTCTGTTTTAAGTATTTCAAGAATTTTTAGTATGTATGTATTTAGCGAATTGAAACCCAAATTATGTTGAATAAATATTTAAAAACTTAATTACAAAGTATTTAGGCGATGTATTTACATCGGGCACATTATTTCCGGTGCACAAGCCTTCAGAATAGTTGCACGTGATTGTGTTTAATTTTAATAACACCAATAATATTAGTAATTTCTTATTACATACATTGAAAAATAATATATGATTTTCATTAAAATGTGGGGTACGTGAAGGTATTTTTAAATTTATAATCAGAAAGTCATGATACATTCAAACGATTAATGCTTGCGTTTAATCCCGAGATACGCAATACTGTTTAAACAAAATAAGAAGCATCAATCATTACTTTTAAAATATTTTGTTCCGCTAAATACCCACAAATCACGTACATTTAAGGTGTTTATTTAATGGACACTAGGATTCACCAACCGCAGCCAACCATGTGGAAAGCTACAAGGGTTATTATCATCGTGTTAACTAAACTTTCAGCCGCAATGTTGTCCAGTAGTCACGTTGTTAATCGGATCTTTCTCAGATTAGCATTAGTATCACACAAGAATTGAAGGTTTTATATTGTGCATAATTGGTTACAAACCTATGAACCTATCTTGTTTTTCGTTGTCATATCAATGAGACTTTATATCAAATTATTGTGTCTGGAAAGCGCTAAAGTATGTTAATGTTAATTTTACGAATTTTCTCCTTTCTCTTACCGATCGCTGTATTGGAGATCATTCATTAAATACTACAAACTTTAAGTTGCATTTTAAAAAGTTTCATTCTCTCTCTTTATCATGAAAATAAATAGTTGCCATGGCTTTGAAGTCAATCTTGTTATATTCAAATATAAACCACAAATTCTATACAAATTATACTTACAGTAGGATATATTTTTTTCTGAAATCAACAAGCACGCTTTAAACTAATATTTTGGTCGCAGCACGTGCTACATCATGGCCATAGCTCTATTGATGAGACCCTTTATTTATTCTCTCAGAGTTGCGTTGAGAGTCCAGTGTTGAATAGGCGTGCATTTTTTGTGTTCTTCGTTATAGCATGTAATATTGTACTGCGGGCAGAATTTCAAATAATACTTAAACCTACATTGGGTATACTATGCCAATTGTCGCGTATTTTGTTTCGCGAAGACTTCCACGTAGGTATAAATGATTCTGAATTTTAGTGCTAGATGTTTATATTACTTTATGATTATTTTATTTTTAATTTATTATAATAATTATTACTATTATTATTATTACTACTAGTATTGTCATAAACACATTTTATTACGAATTAAATGAACGTCGGCACTTAATCTTAGAATCCCATACATTACTGAAATAAAAGAAAAACAAACATAAATCTTGAATTACTGAAGTTTGTGTGAAAGTTTTTGTTAGTTATAAAGCAGAGCTTTTGTGTGTAATTTAATGACATCTCGGATTATTATAGAACGTACAATATAATTTGCCGAGTGTCCTGAAAAAAACAATATTGTAATGGGTTGCAGGAACTCTTTGATATTGTGTTTTCACATCCAGATGATTTTAATCCGAACGTAGGTGCATTTTCAAAGTACATTGGTTATATCAAAACCGACAGATATTTGAAATAAGCTCGTAAGGGCACCCTAATGAGCGATAGATTCGCTGTTTCATCCAGAGATTTATAGGAAAATCTTATTAAATCTACAAGAGAAAATATATGTTAACTCTCTGAGTGTTTTTCCTGTGCGTATGTTTTGAGTTGATTCACGTCTTAATATTAGCTTATTAAATTTATTGTGTATTTCAATACATTTACATTGAAACGTTATTGTAAACACACTGGCATTTTGACAAATAGAAAGCGTATTCTTGAAATTGATTGTATTCTCATAGAAAGATTTCATGAAGTGAAAATTGACTTTTTTGTTTCTTGCTTTCTGATGAATTAGAAGCAGCGAAAAAACAGAACAGAAAATACTATTGTATAATGTAATAAAACAGTGAGTATTTTAATATTCTTCTAATATTTTTTCTAAAAGCATAATCCATGCCATGTTTGTAAAACTATTCCAATAACAACATTCTTTAACATAAAATAAAACTGCATTGCTATATATCTTCAGTGTATAAGAAAATAGCGCATTTCATGGAATACCCTAAAGGAATGTTTATATTTAAACAGACTTATGATTACAAATGTGTTTTAAAGATTAATATTCCATTAATAATATACGTTCTTTGAATTTTGTATATGAACACATGGCCATTACACTCGTAATGGATAAACTTCAAAGTCAAATTAAAGTGCAATATTAACAACATATATTCATTTTAGAATAACTGCATATACGACATAGAAAGTACAGGGGCAACTTTTTATACTGTTTATTTGCATATGTGAAAAGCATAGTTTGATAATGTTTCAACAATTTACAATTTTTGCACTCTTAACGTCATTAACGCATTTGACTTTATTGTTAATTTACAAAACATTCGTCACATAATCTTTAGAAAGCCACATGTGTAAAAAATTAAGAAACTTATTTGTTAATTACGCTGAGAATTTATTATATAGACGACGTTTTGAAGTTTCTGTAGGTATGACCTGAATTCCAATTAAAGTTATCAATGCAAACCATTAGTTGAACAATGTACAGAAAATTATGTAACCGAAATTAATTACGAACAAGAAAAGAAACTTGTGTCATGCGGATTTAAATGAAATCTTTGACCCGACGTTTCTACATTGAATGAAATATCGTATACGTAAGTACTTTCAAGCCATTTGCTACTGGAAGAAGTTTTTTAACGCACTTAATTGTTAGTGTAGTAAACTAACGCTAAGTCCACTAATTTTCAATTTTTTACAGATTGAATACAATTTTACCTGCCTGCTTTAAAGTTATCTTAAAAAAATCTTTATTCAGTGGGAATGAATAATTTAGCACATTATTGAATCTGTAGGTAATTAATATACATTGTTTACAAAATTATGACTCAAAGAATTCTTTAATTCTTATATGTCTACTAGAAATCGACAAACACTATAAACAATTAAAATGTTGTTCATCTAATTTTCTTAACCGTCTTCCGCAAATATTTGAAGCAACAGGGTTAAACTAGGTTCATTACATTGTGAAAAGGATTGCGATACAATTCTACTCGTGCAAATGGACGAAAAATGTAAGCTAGTAATCAAATAAAATTAATTTTTCACAAAATAAAAAAATATTGGCTTCGGAAGGAAAGTGAAGCTTTATTAAAGCAATCTCAATTCATGTGTAAAAAAAGTTAATATAATTTTCGAATGGGATTTTTTATAGCAATTGGGTTCATGATCTAAAATATGTATATACCAGTTTAAAATCATCGCCTTTGGTCGTTAATGAGTACCAAAAAATCACGGGAACGCCCAGAAAGTATGAAAGAAAGAGAGACTATTTTTTTTCGTTGTTTCAGAGTAACATCGTAAAACAAACAAACACTTTGAAACGTGAGGGGATTCGATTTAATCACTTTCTCTTTATTTTTAATTATACAAAATCCTTAAAACAAATTGGTAATTCAAGGGAGTTTTGCGACATTCAGATAGTTTCCGATGTCTAATGTATGTACTGCTTTTAGTGGACAAAAAATGATGTACAAATTCAAATACGAATATATTATCTAATGATATAAAATTCTATGAAAATATTTGTTTAGCCAGTGCAAATTTGTAATTTTTAAATTAAACAGAAAAAGACTTTTGATATGTGAATGAGAGTATAGGCCACTGCAAATTAAACCCGTGATAAATATGCATGTAACAATGTTTTATGCATTACATTATAGCTCGCAGATAATAGAAAATTGCATATTCATTTGAATAATTCCAGTATAATAACCAAGTATTTTGTTTCAGTTTTCGTCAAACAATACTGACTCTCTTAAGCCGCCATGACATTTGCAGTCACATCAGTAAACTTCGTTTCCTACGACAGAACTCGAAAATATACTACTCTTAACGCAACTAAGGTGTTATTGACTTATCAGTCGGATATAAAGAAACTGCTGCCTACATCGACTCTTTTCCTCTACAATTTGTGTCGTGAACAATTTTATTAACTTATTGACCCGTTAATGTAATTAAGGAAGGC